TTGATATTCAGACAGTCTAGGATGATTGATTTGTATGATTCACTTTTTGAAGTACACATAACTCTCGGATTTAAATCCGAAGTTTCCGCATTTATTTATGATTTAGAAACGAATAAAAAAAGCACTCAGATTTAGTGTATTATCTCCGATCACATTCGTTATATATCTGACTAAAATATTATTACTTTTTAAGAATATGAAACTTCATCAACATGATTACAGGTAAGTATTTTCATTGGATTTTATTTTCACTTTTGGTTTTTAAGCGATTACTGATGAAAATGAGAATAATGCATTGAATAAGAATAGATTAATTCTTTGAGTCTCAAGTAAAATCTACTCGATTGAATTGAAATAAATCATTATATTAAGTTATTTTAGATACATATAACACAAATATTTCATATGCTTGCGCATGTCATCTATACCCAACATGAGATTTTATGTGAATTTTATTTTATTTAAATATAAACTTTAAAGAATATTCGAGAAAATTTTAGATTTTTCTCCACGAATGGATATATTGCTTTTGAAAATGTTGTAGCATATTCTAGAACATTTTCTTTGAAGAATCTCATGTTTTTTATTACATGAAGAACGAAAACGTTGTTGACAAGAATTTCAGATTTTTTGTACACCATTTTAGAAGTTTTTCATTACGAAATCATATATTACTTAAAAAGTAATTCTGAAAAGTTGTTACAAATAAAGCCACATAAAGTGTCTGTACTCATGAATTGATTGATTATCTATTGCTTCATTCCCAGAGATTACGTATCAGTTTTTATAGATTATGTTATGCAAAAATAATTACAAAAACATATGTTACATTTTTTACTACTATAGGATTTAAAGGCTTAGTCTAATTTTGAAGAAATAAAAAAATTGATACAAAATATAGCGTTATCTTTATTATATTATATAATTTAAATTTCAGTAGGAATCAAATGCATGAATAGTAGTTTTTTCACAGTATTATATACGATTCTTTTATTTTTAAGTCTAATGTTTAAGAAATCGTATACCAATAAAAGCCATAGTACGACAAAAAATTATAAAAGCTAATAAAACACCAATACAACCACCAATAGAAATATAATTATATCCACGTTCTATGATTAACTCTTCACCACTGTGTATACATGCTGCTGTTATATTGTATGTTGCATTTACAATCGTTGTTTTTACTCCCTCACAAGTTAAGTTCAAACCATTTAATTCATTTAAAGCAGTACCGACAAATGCATATTTTATATAAGATAAAGCATCAATATAACACAAATATATTGGTACACGTGATGGTGCTATGAAGAAACCACCAAATAGACGTGCTACTTCAAGTACCATTGGTAAAACTGTAACACTTAATGCTGTTGTTCGACATAAAGCAGAGACCATTAATGCCATTGATGTTGATGTTATTGAACAAAGAATAATAAAAAACATAAAAAGAAAAAATTTGCCAGCTTCTTCTTGTAAACCGATTAGAAAATAAACAACACATGACTATAAAATAGAAAAAACAAACAAAATTCATTATTTAATGTTAAGATATAGAATGAAATATACGTGATAAAATCATTTTAGTTTTTGTGAAAGGCATAAGTAATTATTTATGAATTATATTCTAAATTTAAACAAAAGAGATTTTTCTTAGGCTTAAAATCAACAGGAGAAAAAAAAAGCGAAAATTTCTTACTTCGCGTTGTACTTCAAAGATATGTCGAAACTATTCTATTGAACTTCTCAGCTGTTTCAAGTGTACTATCAGGAAAAGCGAAAAATGGTGGAATGAAAATTGATCGATGCAAAAAATAGTAGAGAAATTTATAATAAAAAGATAAAAGATTTTTTTAAATTAAAACTTAACGTCCGACGACTAAGCTAAACCAACCAGAGACGTGCACCGCACCTAAAAACGCAGGTGCGGACGGCGGAAAAGATGATGTCAAATATAAAATAGTGACGGCGGCGGTCACCGCACCAAAAGCCTTTTCGGCGAGCGGACGGACCGCTCCGCACCTGCGTCAAGTCAGACGGACGGTCCGTCCGCACCTCCACGCGGCCGTCGGACGGCCGCTCGCTCGATCTCCATTGGGTGTGGACATTATTTTACATATTTGTTCAGGATGGGAATTCTCACATCATAATTGACGCAGCGAGGACAAGATAATCACTATGAGATACTAGATTTCATAGAAGAAATATTCAAA